ATCATCTAACATCTAATCTGAAGCCGTCCCTCACACGAAGATATTACATCAAATATAAGTTAATAAAATACTTTTTACTATTATATAATATCTGCGCTCGTAGACCATGTTCAGAACCACGCGACATCTATTGAACTGCAAAGACATTGCATGAAATCATCGTATTCAACGAACAATCAGAAAGGAAAGAAAAATCTTATCGACGGCGGCCATTTTTGGCAGGTAACTTCCTACAAGCTAATTTATATGACAAGGTAACGCTCGTCTCCACTCGCTCGGTCCCTTGACTTGATTAAGTTGAATCTGCGCAAGTGAACGTCCTTTGGTGACTTTTAAATCGAACACAATGCTCACGCCTCCCTTCGTTCGGCGCTCGCTTGGGTCCTAAATAGGGCATCTTCTGGATTTTGGTTCATTTTTTATGTATAAGGTTCGCCGTCTGATATTAATATATAAATCAAGAATCTCTAGAGGTCTAAACATAATTGTGAATTCAAAACAATGCTCAGGCCTCCCTTCGGTCGGCGCTCGCTGGAAACCTACCTAAGACATCTTCTGAATTTTTTTCTGTTTTCATGTGTAAGGTTCGTAAACTAATAGAAATAGAGCAAAAATCTCAAAAGGTCTAAAACTATTTCCGAATTCAAAACAATGCTCACGCTTCCGTTCTGTCGGCGTTCGCAACCAGTATAGATGAGAAATGCTATGAACTTCTCTGATTCCAGCAAAAAACCATCTAATCTAAATATAAAGTTAAAAGGTTTTCTGCACACGCTCTGCAGACCCCAAGGAGGTTGGAAGTATTTCTAATCGATTCGTTATAATAGGTTATCTATACACTATCAATTTTATTACCCGTAGACCGATTTTTTTTGTATTTTCATAGTTGACTGCTATCTGGCGACATCTACCCCCCGCCCACAGAAAACGGTTGCTGAGCTGTTCACTTCTTTGCATCAGTAAATATTTCAGATGATCTCTTTGAATATTTTCTTTCTTATGTAAAAAATAATTTTCTGCTGTTGTCTCTGGTGATTCGCTTATCCATAGAATATCTGACAGCCATTTTTCCGCATTTTGCGCACACACAGACAACCATTTTATAAGACCCTAGACTAAAGTCAAGGGAACTTTTCTATACTGCATAGCACATTGGACAAACAGCATACTTGAGGATATTACTGACTCGCTATCTGCTCTTAAATTCTTCGTACAGTTACTGTTCTACGAAGAAGACATGATTTTGTAAAGGTCTCAGGAAAAGCCGTTCAGATTTCAATATTTGTAATAGCAACGCATTTGTTTTTTTACATGCATAAATACTCTCCCATGTCTTCTCAAACTCCAAAACCATCCAGAGTCTTCATGTAACATGGCATCCTGGGAGTGCGAAGACTGTTCTCCTCGTCCTTATAATCCCATACACTAAAATTTAATAACTCGGGCAAAATTGATGCAGACTACTTCGGACCATGAAGATACACTCAGTTTTTTATCCTATACCCTCGAATTCAATTCAGTTTTAAAAATCAATAAAAAATTCTTGACGTTTTGAAAAGACTTTCTGGAAATGTTTGGAAATAGCGAAGGTTTTGTACTAATCTTAAGTAGAGAATGAGGCTGGAGTCAGGATTATCAAGAATCAAAGGAGAGCAGTCCTATCCCTCCCAGGAAACCTCATGCGATGTCACATCCATGTACAATGAAGACTTCAGACTCTTTCATTTTTTAGAGGACACTGACGGCTATTTATCCGTGTAAAAAGAAAAATCCGTTGCTAATTCAAATTTTGAAATCCAGACGGATTTCCTGAGGCCTTTTCAAAATCCTATCTTCTAAAAAGGGTTTTCACTTTCTGTGTTACAAAGCATTATGGCGTTAAATTCCATTTAGAATAAGCTTTTCTTTGTTATATAACAAATACGTGTACGTATGGTAGTGTAGGCTACACTCCTGAAAAACACTGTCGTACTATTCTCCTATCCTACTCTTCTACGATTCTAACATTTCACTATTCTAGTCTTCTACTATTCTGCTATTCTAATATCCTACTATTCTAGTATTCTAGTATTCTAATATTCTACTATTGTAGTCTTTTACTATTATAATCATTTCTATCCAACAACTTAATTCGTAACATAATGAAGTAATGCAAATTATGCACTACTATTCTTCTATTCTACTTAGTATCATACAATTCTAACTGCCCAACAGAATACTAAACGAAGTGAAAATTTCTATCTAACGGAAATTCGCCCAGCATTTGTTTGGCATTCAAATTCCAGCTGGTTGTTGGGACAATAATTCATATTTATGTCCCACATCGCCTTTTTGTAATTCATCATACCAACTCGCTGGTACATCTGATTCTAGAAGCAGAGAAGAAGAAAAACTAAATTGTTCATCAGTTATCTGTCGTTTCTAATGTTTATCAATGGCAAAAAATTGCTTATTACCATCGATGTTAGGGAATTATCAGACTAATTGTCAAATGATCAATAGTGACGAAATGGATAAGCAATACGGACATAAAATACGACTAATCTCGTTGATTATTCCGCATTGAGAACAATTAGATCTGAGTTGAATATAGTTTTTTGTAATCCAGACTCTTGTACACGAATTTCTTTTACTAAAATAAGGTGAGGTTAATGAATTCGATAAATGTGGTTATACTTTAGTTGTTATTGATTAACTTAATTGCTAAGCAGAATATTTAACTCTTCCTAAGTAACGTTGCTTTATTCAAGGACTTGGAAAACTACTTATACAATGACGCAAAAAAAAAGCATAATGACTATGGATCGAACGCTCTTCTCAAGGTGTATCCTGCCTAAATAAACTTTCACTCAAAACAAGAAATAGGTTTTTTAGATGCTCTTGAGGAGAAGAAGTAAAGCACTAAGGATGTTATCCTAACCTAACTTATATCAACTATAGGCTAGTAGAATTAGTTTCTAATGAACATCAGAATTACAAAAATTTGATAATTATTTTCGTTCGTACTTGGATTATGTGTGACCATGCTGAACAAGGTCTAATTGCAGGAAAGAAAAAGCGAGACAAAAAAGAAATACCTATATTGTTAAGTTTTTTTACTACATTACCGTTTGTATAGGGATCAAGGAAATATTGTGTATAATTTAGAGTATAAAATATATACAGATATATTATTTTCCAATTATATACTGTAGACTAGAGCAAACGTTGTCTCTTATGGCGAATACTATTTCATTAATTATTTTTTCATTACTCTTTAACTCTCTGTTATCATTAAATTTAAAAAATAATGTAAATACCGTTGTGAATAATGATCGTGAAAAAAGTCTTTTAAAATTGCAAAAAATTAAATGCCAACAACCGTATGTAACACTAAACGTATATTCTGGCAGAGAAAATCCACAATGGTCGATTAATTTAAACCAAATGCGGAGAGTCAAAATAATTATTAATCAGACACGTTATAATTTAGGAAAAAATAATAAAATAATAAAAAGAGTCCTTGGTTATCAAGGTTTTACTGTTCATTGTCATCCACTGAAAAAAGTGAGATTAAATGAAGATATTATGCTAGTTAATGGTGTACCTAAAATAGAACACTATTTATTATCAACTGGTCGTAGATATTTGAAACAATCAATTCGTAATCATGTTAGAAAACATTTAGGTGAAGTAACAATGATACAACAGCCACCTGGAAATAATCAATCTAAAGATGATAATGATAATAATAATAATAATAATAATAATAATAATGCACCATCAAATACAGTATGTTCTCGTGTACCTATTGTCGGACCAGACGTTGTTCCTCTTTATAATCCATATTCTGATAATTATGGCTGTTTTGTCAGAATGATTGATTATAATAATTGTTATGCATACGGTAATAGAAATATGTTTACTAAATGTTACATACGTCCAGCAAAGTAAGATGTGTTTTCTCTTCCAGGTTTAGATATAGTTACAAATACATTTCCTCAACCAGGTATTAATATTATAAATGACGGGAGCCATCATACAATAGCAATTTCCTCAAGATTTTAACGAGAATATTAATTGCATCTTTTCTCTAAAGTTTCTACTACTGCTCAACAAGTTTGCTGTGAATAAAGTAGCTGGTGTAACCTTTTCTCATCCTGTTTTCGCTCATACAGGAAAAAATGGCAAATATCTCAGGGACAGCGAAAAACTTTTATGTGCAATACCATAGAGCTAATCGAGTTGCGCAAGAACGCATATTGACGATATCTCTTGGTTGTCTTACAAAATTAGTCGCATCATCCCATGTCGCCAAAACCAAAATATTTTCTTGCGTTATTCAAGTGAATAACGCAAAAACGAATGCAAAAACATAAGTGGCATAACGCAAAAAATGGTTAAAAATGCGCAATTGTGCAAAATTTTGCATATTCTTCTAGAACAAGATATTTGCAAAATCATGTATTAATACAAAATAGAGAAAAACAATGCAAAATACTTAAAAAATACTACTATCTCTCGATTGTTACTAGCAAATTTTTTTTTAAGAAACTCCTGTCATATTTGCAATTAGTGTGAAAAATGAGTCGAGCAATGTTTATTCTGACCGCCTTTGGCAATTCTTTTCTCAAAATTTTCATTAAATAAAACATATTTTACAACTTTCTAAAAACTACATCTATCAATGTCTGTCACATGAAGGGCTATCGTTCGCACTATACACTTTGAGAATGACTTTTTGCAAGAGTGCAAAAGGGTTCTATACACACACACACAGACTTCGTGCCGCACTAATTCCAAAAATACCAGAAAAAACGTGTAACTTCATTTATATCTGTTACTTTTGGAATTGGTACGAATCCTGTGTGTGTGTGTATAGAACGTTTTCGACATTTTTTGCACTCTTGATAATGAAGTTACACGTTTCAATCTCTTTTTCAAACTATCTTGTTTCTTTCGTAAGCGTGAGCGAGGAAAACTTTTCTTATCACAAAGAGATATCTGGACTGCTCATATGACTGAGGCGTGTGACTCTGTTAATTACTCTTATTCTTTCTGCTATTATTTTGCTGAAACACAAACATAAAAATAAAACTATATTGGATCTACCGAATAGAGATGTGCAATCAAATTCGCAGCTGCTCCGACCCAAACGCTGATCACGGATAGTAATCGAATTTTTTAAAACATCAGATAAGGTGTGTAAGAACTATTAAAGATAAGCCACGACCTAATGTGCTCAACCGACCATCTCAGATTTGTTTCGAAGTAGGAGACTTCTTTAGAGCAAACATTTTCATGAATTGTGGCGAAAACTAGAGGTCCTAAAGTTGTTGCGTTGCTGAGATATTCAACTTTTACAAAAAATGTTTTACGAAAAGCCCCCAAAAAACAAATTTCCGCCAGCTTGAAAAATTGTCAACTTAATCTACGTGTAACTTCGTAATGAAATATGACTTAGCCTAATCAAGTTTATCATAAATACTAGGTAGTATCTATTGATGCAACCGCGTGCTTGGCACATGCTTTCGTTCTTTTGCTTTTGATAATGCTGTGAGAGCCGAAATCATCGATCTGTACATTTTGGAGAACAATTCTCTCTCGGAAAATAGGACGAATTTCTCGTTCCCTATGATATTGCTGGAGTACATCAAGTGTACTATCATGAGCCACGATGAGATTTTATCTTTTAAAACGCGTCGGAAACCAAGTGAGCTTTCCAGAAAACCAAAACATGTAAATTTGTCAATTGGATTTGGGATTGTCAGGTCAATCGCTTTGTGGAACAGATTAAGTTACACAGGTCAAGCTATTTTTATAACTATTGGATTAGTTTGATGAAATTAGAAACTTTTAGTTCATGTATTGATTAAAGGCATATGTATGTATGTAAATACTGTAGTCTTTGAAAAGTTTAAGGCTTAGTTAAAACTAACTGAATTGTTATAAAAATAGCTTGACCTGTGTAACTAACAGTTTGCAGTCTTATAATAGCTATAACTCTCTCGCTCTTTCTCTCAGTCATATGAGCAGTCCAGATATCTTTGTGATAAGAAAAGTTTTCCTTGCTCACGCTTACGAGAGAAACAAGATAGTTTGAAAAAGAGATTGAAACGTGTAACTTCATTATCAAGAGTGCAAAAGATGTCGAAAAGCACTCTCATAGCATTATCTACTATAAAAGAACGCAAGCATATGTCGAGCTCGCGGTTGCATCAATTTGTAGTAGATACTACCTAGTATCTATGGGGCTTTTCGTAAAACATTTTTCGTAAAAGTTGAATATCTCAGCAACGCAACAACTTTAGGACCTCTAGTTTTCATCTATTTAGCGAACTTTCAATGTGTAACTTGCATCATCGTCTTCTGAGTAAAAGCTAATTATACATGTTTGGGATTGACCCAATTTGTTATTGAAAGAATCTTGAAGGCTAAGCAACCAGCATTGCTTTTTGGACTAAACCATGGAATTTTTTAGAGGTATCGTTTTAAATACAGAACCGCTTGAGATCGGAGAAAAAAACATTTTCATAGTGTTACACATTCATAGGCGTGGTGTAGCTGACTCTCAGACTATTATGTACAAGTAAAGCTAAGAGTTTTGTCATCATTTCTCGATCCCGTGTAGAAACTGCAACAATGTTTTTGCGTGGTTACGCAAAAAAAAGTGCAAAAACATAAGTGGCGGAACGAGAAAATGGTTACAAACGCGAAATTCTGCAAAATTTTGCATATTCTTCTAAGAATATATTTGCAAAGTTCGGTATTAGTTGAATTAATACATGATTTTGCAAATATCTTGTTCTAGAAGAATATGCAAAATTTTGCACAATTGCGCATTTTTAACCATTTTTTGCGTTATGCCACTTATGTTTTTGCATT